GTATATGAAAAATATTTATTTGATATAAGAAAATCCTTTTCAAAACAAATAAATATTTATTTGTTTCAAATAAATGATTCATTTGACAGTATTGAACGAAATATTTCTTAATTTAACAAATTTTTTTCAGTGTACCATATAGGTAAATTTTAGTCCATATATTACAAATAATTATCATATATCAAAATTTTACACTAAAAAAAAATTTGTTGATTTGACCAAACCTTTCAACTAAATTACTATTTTGTTAATTGATTGAACATATATTAGTATTTAAATCAAATATACGTTCTGTTCAATTTAATATGTCACATTTAATTTAATGAACAAAATAATATTTAAGTTGAAAGGTTTAATCAAGTTAACCATTTTTTTTCTTCAGTGTAGCTAACGGTAACTAATATTTTTTATTTGTAGTTTAACAAAGAATACTATATAGCTAAAAATATTAGCTATCATAACTAAAATTTAGACACGATAACTAAATTTGATATGTAATATAGGGACAACTAAAATTTAGCTAATTTTTTCTCGTAATATGAAACACGCGATATATCGAAAACATTGTTCCGAAAAATAACAGCTTATTTTTAGTCTTAAATATACGAGAAACTATTTTGGATAATCTCATTTTAAACCTTGAACAATTTTATCAATTTTTATGCGATTATATAACGAGTTTAAAATAATATTTTATTTATATATTGATTAATCTTGCGTAAAACTATCGGCGTTTGTTTCAGAGTTTCTTTATGCGTGCGTGTAATTAACTTTTTTAATTAATATGATATGACAATAGTAATAAAAATATACGAATTATATAATAAGTTATATTGGAAGAATTTAGGCTCAATTATAATTAATGAAAAATGATTTCTTAAGATTAAAAAATCAATCCATAAATTCTTCGCGTAAAGTAATAGCTTTTTTTCTCGTTATCGTCATTCAATAGTAATTATAATAACTCAGTCTTCATTATCGAGTTTCAAAGATCACATATCTCGATCTTTGAATCGTAAAAGAAATACCTGCAGTTTTTTTGCAAGAAATACCGCGAACTCATTCAGGTACGCAAACTATTGTTTTTTATCCCTGAATGCGCGATTTCCACTTATATACGCTGATTCGAATTTTCTAGCAATGACTCAGATATCGTGGAAATAATTGATAAAATGACGGATAATTGACTGTAGTGATGATCACTTGTGCGCAACAGCAAAAACGAACGAGTACATAGTATTACTAAATCACGTAAATTCATAAAAACTTAATTAAATAATTAAGCATTATTACATAAACAATCGTCTCATATTCGAGAAATAACATTTCCGTTTCCTTCGAATTTCCATTGATCGAGAAAAAACAATTCAATACACATACCTATATGTATATTCTTGATTAACGATGAAACATTCGAGGATGAAAATTTGAAATCGCATATTTTCATACTCGCTTTTATCGCCGAATGCGATACGTCAGCGTGTTTTCGTCTCTCACGTCAAGCGCTAAATATCGTGTAATCTCTCGTTATACGCGATAACAGGGAATGCGAGTTGCATGATGAGGTAAAAAGAGGAAAAATAAGATTCAGAATCGTACTTAATCACTCGCGCTAAGTGTACGATGATACGCGAGCACGTAACAAAGAGAACGGAGAGGTAGAGGGACGTATAATGACAGCTGTGAGGCATAGAACGTGGGCCGCGTGCGTTTCATTATTACGAAACGCAACGTACGTTAAAGACACCAAGGTCCGCGATATGCTCTGCATTTAACGTCGCGTTTAGCGCGTTAAACGGTGCCGCCCGATTCACAGTTTTATCCGTCTAATGGAGATCAATGTCAAACGGCGCGAATTGGAGAACGGAAAAATATCCCTCTCCTCTCGTGCACAGAGAGAATTTTCCAGGGTGTCCAGCAGACCCGATGAAAAAATTGACCGACTTTTTCAGATTTTCCATGCAAGACCAGAAATTCATTTTTTCCCTCACTTTTTAGTATTGTTTTTTTTTTAAATATGTAATTTGCATATATCTCTCTGTATATGATAAATTAATTACATGTTCAATCATGAAATCCTTGAGATGTTTTTGTCAGCAATGAAAAGATTCGAAAGTTAAAACAAAAATTTTAATCAATTATACAATCTACATTATGTGCGATAATCGAAACAAACATGTTACTATAAATTATTTAAATGATCACCTTTTTATTTATATTATATCAAATTTTATTTTTAATATATTTAATAGTATCTAATATCACAATAAAATTTTTAAATAAATCATTTTTAATTAAATTAATGTATTAATTTGTAATAAAAAAGTGAATTAAAATGAAGTTTTTGAACAATATTATAATTCTTGAGCAATGTTGTAATATATTTTGAAATATATAATACATTGAAATAAAATAACACGATGAAAATATAAATTAACGAACACGCTGTAGATGAATCGATTTCTAACAAGACAGAAATTTAGCGTGCTGGAAGTCAAAGAAGAATTTATATTTATTTAATAAAAAATTTCAAATTATTGAGACAAATGTAGAATAATGAAAAAATCCAGATAAATAGTAAAATTTCCTGACTTTTTCCCTGACAATTCCAGATTTATAAAATTCCCTGAACAATGTTTTCCAGATTTCCCTGCTGCTAGATACCCTGTTTTCTCTTAGAATTTTATCCTGAAAGTCATGGTAATCGTGGGACAATATAAATAAGCGGTTCTCTGATTAATATTTACTACGATAAAAATATCTACCATAATAAAATATCAAAGATGTTCGATTAATTTTATTATGTACGTATTAATATTTTTTATTGTGATAAATATTTTAATCAAAGAAACTCTTCCAACGCCGTATATTGCCCCACGATTACCATGATTTTTAGGGTAAATTCTAAAAGAAAATTCTCTCCATGTAAGATACATATCTTACAGAAATTAAATTTCAAATTAAGAATAAAAATTTCATGTTAAATTTTAAATTAAAAATACCTAATTCTTTGTGTTATATTGCAATTGTAAGAAAATATAATAATATATAACATATCAAAATTTATATAGTATCGTACGTTTAAAAAAAAATTAATTTTAATATTTAATAAAATTCTAAATGCAGCTAAATTCCATTTAATTAATTTACTTATAAATTGCGTTAATTAACATGTGATTTTTAGTGTTTGGTTTAACGTTGATGTTCTGGAAATGGAATAATCTGGAGAATGTGACATTTACTAATGTATTTTTTATTGTGATAAATATTAATGAAAAAACTGATAAAATTCTTCCAATAGCATATCGGCCCACGATTTTCGGGATAAATTCAAAGATAAAATTCTCTCCGTGTGCTCGCGTTAAATACTTATGGCAAATTTAAAAAAATCAGTCACATCTCGCAATGGGAAAAATATATATATTCTACACGTTGCGATAACATATACCGACAGACTTGTCAAAACAGTCTGTAGAACAATAATGATAAACAAACACAAGCGGAGCAGATTTCATTCAATACCTCCAAGTTGGCGCAAACAGTGTCTGCTCTTCTCTCTCTCTCTTTCCCAGCTCGGAAATAAATCGAGCATGACAGTATTCTGTATTTTCATACTTTATCTCATTTCCTTTCCCGGTCTTTTTTTCTTATCTTTCAACCGCGTGTAGTAGAGCGACATTGATCATTCAAGTGTCAAGGCGACGAACCGCGAGCATTAATATATAAACGCAAGAGAGAAGTATTTGATTTGGAAATCTACTTTTAAATTTTTTTTTCATCGCAATAGTGGAAAAAAAAAAAAATATAAATCAAGGATTAATCATTTTTAATGAACGAGTTTCGACAATGAAACAAAATGCAACAAGCGCTAGGTGCTTTAATAAAATTTATTAAGGTCACCTTGATTTTTTTAAATAAAAAAAAAATATATATATATATATAACACACTTTTCACAATATAATATTCAAAAACATAATATAAGAACCGTGTTATTTTATTTCGCTCGTGTTCTACCCTCTCGAGTCGCAAAGTGTGACACAGTAGTTGTTTCATCAAGGACGCAAACATCATGAGGAACGTGGTGTTTACTTCGCAACGGCAGCGTTTTTCGCGCAATTTTCGCGAAAAACGATAGATACGCGAGACGTCACGTTCGATGCATCTAGCAACCCAGCTTCCCGACGACGTCACAAGCGCAAAAGGCCTCGCACGGAGGGGGGAGGGGGCGGGGGAGGAAATGCGCGAAGGGCGGCAAAGGAAGTAAGCAGGAGGAAATGCAGAAAGTAGGAAGAAGAAGAGAGAGATTGTGTGCGGGGGAGGAGCCGTAGAAGGAGGCGAAGAAGGAGAATTCTCTCCTCCGCGAGGACGACGCAGGATGACGCGAGAGGGAAAAGAAGGGAGAGAAAGAGAGAGAGAGCGCCGAGAGGGTGCGGTAGATACGAGACGAACCGATGACAGGAGACGCGTAACGAGAGAGAGAGAGAGAGAGAGAGAGAGAGAGAGAGAGAGAGAGAGAGAGAGAGATGCACCGAGTTGACAGCCAGACAAAATGACAGATAAAACGGAGCACATTATTATAAAAAATAAAAAAAAAAACGAACCGATGACAGGAGACGCGTAACGCGAGAGAGAGAGAGAGAGAGAGAGAGATGCACCGATTTGACAGCCAGACAAAATGACAGATAAAACGGAGCACATTATTATAAAAAATAAAAAAAAAAACGAACCGATGACAGGAGACGCGTAACGCGCGAGAGAGAGAGAGAGAGAGAGATGCACCGATTTGACAGCCAGACAAAATGACAAATAAAACGGAGCACATTATTATAAAAAATAAAAAAAAGACGAACCGATGACAGGAGACGCGTAACGCGCGAGAGAGAGAGAGAGAGAGAGAGAGAGAGATGACAGATGCACCAATTTGACAGCCAGACACAAAATGACAGGTAAAACGGTGCACATTATAAAAAATAAAAAAAAAAGAAAAACAGAAACTGACCTTGTCCGAGGGTATGGTGCGCACCGTAGTCATCGTAACTGAGGGCCAGGAGGCGTCGTGTCGCGAGTAATCCAGGGTAATCGGCGTCCCGCGACGTCCGCCGACGACGACGATGGCACGGTGCTCGTCGGGACGATCAACGTTGAACGACGATCGAAGAAAGGCGGGAGAGACGAGTATTCGCACTTTTACGACTCTCGATTAAAAACGACGACGACACACTCTTTTCTCTCTCTTCCTTCACGCAGGGGCCCGCCTCGCGCGCGCGCTTCACTACACCATCATCACGATGGGCCGCGTCGTGGCCTCGCACCGCGACCGACACCCCGCTCGCGGAATCGAGCCGATTCTTCTTCTCGCTCCTCGTCGATGCCGATGGCCGATGGCCGCCGCCGCCGTTACTTGTACGCGTCCGGGCCGGGCCGTTGTTCGGCCAACATGATTGAGAGACTCGCGCGACCGAACCGCACGGAACCGTGTCTTCTCGGGCACCGCCGAACCGCGGAGGCGAGAGAGAGAGAGAGCACTCGTCGGGGACTCTTGATTCGGGGCTCCCTTGGACCGCAAGCCACCGCACCGCACCGCACCGCACCGCACTGCACCGCACGCAGCACGCACGCACGCACGCACCCGTGTCACCCGTCCCGTGACAGCGCCAAACACATAAAATGGCGATCCCTCGCGGATACGTGAGATCCTCTGGCGGAGCGAACCGAGCGTCGCGGGGAGTGCGCGATCGACTAGACAGGCGGACTCGATGACACTGCGGCGGCGGCGGCGAGCAGCGCCGTCCGCCATCTTGCGCGTCACCCGTGACGTCACGCGCATGCGCGCCGAGCCGCGCCCGCGCGCGACTCACTTCACGTCGCTGCCGCGTGGCCTCGAGTCTCTCTAGTCCACTCTCGATCGCGCGGCGTTCCGGGTCCCTTCTCGTTATATTCGACGAATTCGGTCAGCAGGAATTACAGCTGGTTCCTATTCTTCGAAGGCTGTCAAGTTTTTTGCTCGTAAGTTATTTATTTTTGCAAGAATGTGGCGAGAGTGTAGTAAATGGCAAGCAAATCGATCGATCGTAAATTTAATGATTTTTGGATCGATTGGGAGGCAAAGAAGTAGTAGAGGAATAAAAATGTCGATTTACTTACCGTTTATACGTCTTTTTTTTTGTATGCCACGGATCGACGTTTAATTTTGTGCATTCGAATAATCTCGAAGCCGTCTGAAGTTGCCGACCAATCAGAATCGCAGGAACGTTCCACTTGTTCATACACGCCCACGAGTTTCGTCTCTCTTTATTTAACTTTCGATGAGGAACGAGAATGAGATCGTTGCTAATGTCAAGTGGAACGTACGCATTGAAATTGCGCGCAATACACTGTTTTGAAGGAAAATATATTTCCTCGACCAATCCTCCATCGCGGCGAATCGGAGCACGCTAGATGTCGTTGATTCACTTCCACTTCCGGCGCCGAATGAGATCGTGAAATTGTACTTACGCAATTTGTTGTGTTGTGTCTCGATAAAGTGTGACCCGGCGTCGAAACGTAAATAACGCAGATATTTTACGAGATAGTCTTCAGATAAAACTGCGTCGATCGTTGCAAAAAGTTCGATCACTTTCACCGGTAAGTTTGTCTTAGATTTACTCCGAAATTCGTAATTATCATCTCCAAGGACTACACTGTTTAGATCGCGTGTCCTTCAAATTAGAATACGGTCGATATATGTTTTTAAATGTGTGAAAATATATGTGTTTTGGTTTTTTGCGTCACGACATATAGATTATATTATTGCGAAATTCATGGTTTGCCAGTTTTTTCGATTAAATGTATATTTAAAATTGTATTTTAACACATCTGAATATTTGTTTACAGACAACATGGAGCACCTGCTTACGGAACTATTTAATAACCAGTTGAAAACGTTAGTTCGAGAATGCATAAACAATTCGTCCCTTTTGCACGATCCAAAGTTCTCCTCCATCAAGGAGCTCATAGAGCATTACGGTGGCAAGATACCACAAGCTAAAGCCAGTCCTGCGTCAGATACCAATAATGAATTTAGAAGCGAGCCTGCAGAACCGCAGGTTGAATCTGAACCTGAACCTGAATCTGAGAGCGAGGAGAGTGACGTGGAGCTGGATATGACTGGTGTAATTGGTTTGTATATTTTTCTATTTCGACTGTTTACATTTTTTACTCATTCTGATAAAAATATATAACGTAACAATATTTTTTATTATAGAACCAGATGAAGATGCTCCTCAAAAAATGGGAGATCTACTATTGCAACCCACAGAGGAGCAATGTACGGAATCACAGGCAATAAGATCTCAAGCAGTCTCTGCATTTATGGAAAAAGACTATGAGAAAGCTGTACAACTTTACACAGAAGCTATCGTATTGAATCCACAGGCAGCTTTATTGTACGCTAAACGAGGTCAAATCTTTCTGCTAATGAACAAGCCGAATGCCTGCATTCGTGATTGCGATCGTGCTATAGAATTAAACCCGGACAGTGCGGCGGCTCACAAATTCAGAGGACGGGCCTATCATCTTCTTGGAAAATTCGAGGAAGCGGCGAACGACCTGAGATTAGCCTGCAAACTTGATTTTGATGAGCAAGCGGACTTGTGGCTGCGCGATACTACGCCGAATGTAAGTGACTTTTAGTTTTGCATGAAAGATTGCATTTTGCATGAGAAATGCATCTTGCTTTGTATATGTAAAACGCAACATTCACATTCTACGACACGTACCATCTCTGAATATAAAATATTCATTGAGCGATGGATATTTTGACTCTTCAAACAGTGTCATCAAATTATAAATTTTATCAAATACTTTGAAAATATCTCTATAAATTTTAGAGATAATTATCAAGAGCAATAATATTTTTGATTAATTTTTACATAGAAAAGACTATGTTTTAATGCTCTAAACAAAAAATGGGCATCTGATATAATTTAATTTTAATTCATAAATATATAACTATTACTTAGCACATTGAGAAAGATCTTTTCGCAAGATATTTATGCGAGAGTTCTCATACATATTTTTTTGGTTTTATTAAACGCACTAATTGATATATGTATTTATTTAATGACTTATATAAATGAGTAATCGATTGTGTATTTGGGTGCGAAATAATGTCGCATACATAGACAACCAGCAACTATTACACACATTCTTATTTGAAACGTACACATTTTGCCTAGAGATATATAATAAATATATAATAAATTTCTTATAATTTATATCTACTTAGCTTAGGTACACTGTACGTGTCGATATATTAAATCTTACTCTAACTAAAGAAATAGATGCTTTGATATAACACATATCTTTATAACAATATTAAATTTACTATATATAAATGTAGAATAACAATATGATGACAGCAACAACAATGGTAATAACAATGATGTCAATAGTATACATATTTTGATGCTGCATGAATTGCGCATTTTTATATGATTTATAGTTATATTATTTTAAATGATGTAAATCATAAAGCTTGCTCTGTTATTCGCGATTTAGAATTCACTTCCATCTCTAATGTGTTCGCGCTTTCGCTGAAAAATATAACAGGCTGAAAACGCATTACATTATATTTGCTTTCAGATTCTTTAATTATGATTATAAATATTAATGTGATCCAATTAAATTGAAGTTTATCTAAAATTAATGAAATACAATAGTATATAAAGTAGAAAGACATTCTAAAGATTTAAAAGAATTTCAATCCTAGAATCAATGTAGAATTTAAGGATCGAATTAAGCCATCAATTTAAAAGCCATTAAGTCAGTTACTTCAGTAGAAGAGCTTAAATAGATTGAAATTTAAATTTTTTAGGATCTAAAAAATTAAACATATATTTAAAAATTTGTCAGTCTACAACTAAATAATAAGGATATAAGAATTTGAAAAGCCATAAGTTTAAATATCTACAGTATAATTATTTAAAAGGACTCAGTGTCTCTTTCTAAAGTATAGGAAACATAATTTCCAACGCGAACTCGAGAAGAAAGTTGAAGTTTTTAATCAGGAAAGCACCTCCCCCTCTTCTTCACACACGATTCGTCTCACACGTTAACCGAGCAACGGGTGAGAGATCAGTATATCTTAAATTATTTAATTACACATTTTTTTTAATAAGAACACAAATCAACTTATACAAGGTATTCCACAAAAGCCTCAAGAAGAGATCACTTTATCTCTTTCGCAATGGAAATATTTCGACACGATTAGTTTAATATATCCTCGATACGGAGGTATTTGGTGGACGAAACCGTTGTAATTATTCAATATTATGTCCATTTTGGAAAGTCTGTCTTCCGAGATAAAAGCTATCAGCAGGCATCGATTCGTCGCAAAGCAAACGAATTTAAGGACTAGGTGTGCAACAGTAATTGAATCTTTTTTAAGAGCTCGAGAAAATTAATCTCTTGACATCGAGAGAATAAAATTTTAATTTTTTTATTCTGTAAAGTTAATTTTAAATATTTCAATCTTGTTTGAAATTAAAATTAGATAAATGTCGAATTGTGAAATTTCTTGAAAAAAAGAAAAGAAAATTAAACGGGGGAATCGATCTTCTAAATTAGAGATTCTGAAATTTAAAATTAAATAAATTGACAGATCTCTGAGAGATTTACACGAACCTTATCGAGTACTTAAAAAAGCAAGACGCAGATCACCCGTTGCACCAAAGTCTAGAAATTTTTCACAGAGAGGAACCGATATCTGAACACATATTATGTATATATTCGTAGGGAACTCTCACTGTCCGCTTTTGGATCGGAATGGTAACACTCGCATTGTTTTACCAGACACAAGCAACAACACACTTGCTCTTGAGAAGGTGTACCGAATCCGTGATATCACACTTCATATTTTGCTCACACTTTCCTCTGTCGAGAGAGACGAGGCTAATTTGGATCTAGAGACGCGCGATGATACTTTATCATGCTGCTCCTGTCCGTTTTCTCTCTCTTTTTTTTTCTTTCTCATTCTTCCTCTCGTGACTGACGGTTTTTTTTCATGAACCGACTTTTTGTCATCGGAGCACCTCGAATACGATACGCGAGGGTAGTGCGATCCAGCTGCTTGAGTTTCAGGAAGAGAGTCCTCGGTACCATTTCAAGTGTCAAACTGCGTTCTTCATCCCAGTTCGCCATCATCGAGGATCCTTGATTTTTGCATCGCCAAGGCTGCAAGCTGCTAATTTCTTCTTTCGGTGTAGCGGAGTTTAACGTGTCCATACTTCACATGGTATCAAGAACTCTTTTCCAGAATGCGGACTCGCACTCAACTCGGTGGACTGTTGCCCTCGCTTTCATGCAAGAAGGTTTCTACCGACTTCTTGTACTTGCCTACCAGTTCAGGTAGATCATAAGCGATTGACACATCGAGCCTGTTGATCGGACAGCCGCGGAAATACGTGCAGGTTGAGCTCAGCAGCGGGAAGTCGTAGAGCGCATTCAGCCGGAAAAAGTCGCGATAGACGTCCGGATCGGGTAGATCATAACGCGATATGTTGGTCAGAGTGCTGAGACCCTCGTAGATATGATAGTCCTGTGGATTTTCGATAATCTTGTCGCTGATGTCTCGCTTGTTGCCGAAAAACGTCTTGTGGTTGTAGTATGTCGTCAGGTAGCAGTCCACCATCTTCGCGTGGTTGCGCACTCGAACCTAAAATAGATGACGAATCCAGTCGATTTTTATTCAAGCATAGTTTTATTATTTTTTAGTTTTTATTTATTTTTTTATATAAAGTCCAAGTGATTAATTTTTATCGATTTAGATGGAGGGAATTTTCTGTTAGAATTTACCCTGAAAATCATGGTAATTATGATATTGGAAGAATCTTATAAGAGTTTCTCTGATTAATATTTATCACAATAAAAAATATTAATATGTGTATGTACATAATAAATTTTATTATATCTTATTGTAGTAGATATTAATATTTTTTATTCTGGTAAATATTAATCAGAGAAATTCTTATAAAATTCTTTCAATACCATATGGTCCCACGATTTAAGAGAATATTCTCTCTGTGCATTTATATTGTTTAATTATTCGCTCGAAATTTGTGAAGAAAGCTCGACCATTTGTCGCTTTGAAAAAATTGGATTAAACTTACGGCGAATCGTCTGGCGCTCGCTATTTTGTGTTCGACCCTCTTATTTATCGCGGAACGTAGATCGCGAAGGAATGCGCGTTCTTGAGCGTACAACAATCTGGTGGGTGCACCAGCCTCGTAAGGTATGGACCATAACGACGTGGAGTACATTATCGGTGGTTCCGCACTCGACATCAGCGGCGATATATTCCAGATTAGAGCGCCTTGCACCCTCATAAGTTCCTCGGGCTTCACCTGATCGGCTTTATTGAGAATAATGCGGGTCTGCGTTTGAAAAAGTTATACGTTCATTATTTATTAGATGAGTTTTGAAACAAATTTTTTTTTCAAAGAGAATACTAACGGATTTGTTTTATCTGATTAACTTACCTGATATTCTCTCCCCTTTAACTGATCAAGAATCGCCTCGGTTTCGGGCCCGACATCCAATTTCGCGGGATCGTAAACCAAAAATATTATATCCGCTCGATCGATGAACCATTGGCATGCGTCGTTAAAAGGGAATAAACGTTGAACTTGTTTGCGAATCTCTAAGATACCCGGTATCTCGACGATGTTTACCTATAACATAGTTATAGCACATACTTAAAGCCTCACTTGAGACGATTTATAATTCGTGATAAAATTCGAGATAAAATTTTACTTATAATTTTACATATCGTATAATACATTTAAAAAATAATGTGTACACATAAAATTATAAATAGATTTTTGTCTTGAATTTTATCACGAATTATTGGCTATTTAAAGTAGACTTTTTAAATGCGAGATCTCATAATCTCGTAATAACATATAGTTATGTCACATAGATTGTTTTCACACTGAAAAAAATGTATTGAATTCGAATAAATACTTATTTCAATATTGCCTTATAAATTATTTATTTGAAATTAATAATATTGATTTGATTCTTATTTAATATAAAAAAATCTTTTCCCCGAAACAAATATTTATTTGTTTCAAATAAATGATTTATAAGACAATATTGAAATAAATATTTATTAATTTAATAATTTTTTTCAGTGCAGTAATATTATGTGATTATAATGTTTTTTTCATCTTTTCTATCTAAAGTTCGAAAGAATTTTAAAACATCAAAATAAAAAACCAAGATGCTTTTAAATAAATTTTATTTTGCATTCAAAATTTAATTTAATTACTAAATTATAAATTATATTGAATATTTGAAAGAATTGTTCTAAATGAAACTCTAAACTCAATTTTTATTAAAGAAACATGGTCTATTGTATCTATTTTCATAATAGATGAATAAGATAATTGCATAAGATAATTGTTTATCACTCACCTTTTCTAGTAACTTATTGTTAAGTCGCAAGCCCCTGAGACGATCCAATAGACCCTGGCCAAATTTCTGCAACCCCGAGAAGGTCCAATCTGCGGCCAGTTGAGTGCCGTCAAGAACCTCTTCCTCCTCGCCGTGCATTATTATGTTGAAGTACGCCGGTGATGGCTCGGCTCCTGTGTCATTTTTTCCATTTGGCCATTTGCAATGCTCTTCTAAGCACTCTCTCAAACCACCTAAACACTATCTATATATTCATGCTCCTAGCACGCCTTCTACCGTTATGTCTACCTGACTACATTGCAAGCCACAAAAGCCAAAAAAGAGGTACAAAAGGAAAAGGTTGTCTTTTTTTCCCTTAATTACGTACCTGTCCTTAGGGACATCGGATTGTACTCAATGTCGAGCAAATAATTGATGATGGATGATTTTCCGCCGCTCCACGGACCCATGAAGAGCACTAGTGGCTTTGAAAATATTTCGGGATCTGACGAAATAGAATAATATAATCAATTATTGCAAAACACATATTGAAAAGATTGTTGTCCATGGAGAAAATTACATACTCTATTTTCTGTTGTGATTATAGAACGAAAATAGTTTCGTTAATTATACCTTGACATGTCATGATCAATTGGTATTGATTATATATATTGAATTTTATTTTATTAATTATTTATAATATTTTTAATTAAATTTTTTAAATGTTATTTAAATTTTATTATGATGTATATGTTAGTAGTTTAATTATTTTCAAATTTATTAATTAATTATTAATTATTTTAATTATTATTAATTTTACTTTATAATATTCAAAGCAGTCATTGATTAAAATTATTATTAAATTTAATATCGCGTGTAAATTGCTCACCTCCGAAATGCCTGTTACTCAAATCTCTGTATTTATACATGGTTTCCAACGGCTGTATAGCGTTATCATAGAGTCTCTTCAGATCTCTGAGGACGATATCGGCCTCTCTTTGGATAGCTTGTTCTCTCCTCGCATTTTCCTCATCCAGTTTTAGCAATTGATTGATGTGATCTCTCGGTCGAAGATTTTCCGGGATTTCGATTTCTTGAATTAAATCTTCTTCTGGAGTGGGTTCTTGCTCCTCTTCGCTAGCAACTGAGATAATATAACGTTTATCATAAATAATTATATAAATTATTTTGTGTTACCTATACAATAATTTATGAAATATTATATATAATTATAAATATATAAGATAAAATTAAAAGGAAAAATAATCTAAAATTTGAAAATTAAGTATAGAGTATCTTTTACCTTCCTCCGTAGATTCATCTCCTCCTTCCTCGCTAACTTCTCGTTTGCCACGTATTTTTACATCTTCAGTCTCTTCTCCCTCGGATTTTGTCTCTTGCTCTTCCGATTTTCCCTCTTCTTCTGCTGATTTTTCTTCCTTACATTCACCTTCCGCGCATTTTGCTTCTACCTCCTCAGATTTTGCTTCTTCTTTTTCTTCCGCAGAAGCTTCTTCTGCAGATTTCGCCTCTTCTTCAGATTTTACTTCCTCTTCCACAGATCTTTTCTCTTCTTCTTCTTCAGCAGATTTTGCCTCCGCTTCTTCTTCTGATTTTGTTTCTTCTTCTGTTTTCGTCTCTTCTTCTGATTTCGTTTCTTCTTCTGATTTTGTTTCTTCTTCTGATTTCGTTTCTTCTTCTACTTCCTCTTTAGAGTCTGCTGCTGCTTTAGAATCTTCTGCACTATCCTTTTCTTTTTCTTCATCCTGAGTTTCGGCGCTTTCACTCTGCGCTTCTTCCTCGCCTTTCTCATCTTCACCACTCACCGTCTGCTCTTCAGTCGATTCGGCGGTTTCTTCAGCTTTGCTATCAGCTTCTTCCTCTGTTTCTTCGGCCTCTTTTTCAACGCTAGCTTCCGCAGACGTTTGCTGAGCTTCCGTCTCTTCTTCTGACTCGACTACTTCTTCCGTGGCTTCTTTGGAGTCTCCTTTTTCCTCGTCTTCAGCTTTCGATTCTTCAGTTTCTTCTTCGGTTTCGGTTTTTTCTTCCTCGGATTTCGCTTCGTCATCTACTTTCTCCTCTTCGGATTTTTCGTCTTCTACTTTTGTTTCTTCGTCAGATTTCTCTTCGTCGGGCTTCTCATCTTCTTCGGTTTTCTCTTCGCTTTCAGTGGTCACCTTTTCGGAAGAATCAGCCTCTCCATCACTTTCAGTTGCCTCGGCGGACGCCGCTTCTGTTTCTTCTACTTCTCCTGTACGAATATTTTTTTAATGCTTTGTTTCATACTTTAATTATATCTGTATTTGAATAGAAAAGAGCCAACAATTTAAATTATTAATGCTATTATTTTTACCTTCTTGAGCAGTGCTAACTTCGACACTCTCGACAGATGCAGCTTCCTCACTTTGTTCATCTTTTTCTTGTTCGGATTCTCCTTCCGTTTTTTCTTCGGTAGCATCGGCTTCTTCTTCCTTGCTCTCCTCGGCAGCGGCTTCAGCAGCTTCCTCTACCGATCCTTCCTCGTTCTTGACCTCATCCTCTTCTTTCGAGTCGTCTGCTGTCTCACCAGGAGTCTAAGTAAATAGATCTCTGATAATAATGTTCATATTTATTTTTCAAGCACTCTATACATTGCAAATATTTTTTTGGTGTGAAAAATTATATAGTGTGTTCTTACATATATATGTATTAAGGGTTGCATTTAAAAATTAAACAAATATTTATTTGACATAAAAGAGAATGTTTGCGGTTTTTTTTTTAAATTTAAAAAAATAATGAATAATTTGTTCGAGATCAGTTAATTTTTGAATCTAAGTTAATTTCGCTATAAAGTATTTGGAAGATCTTACTTCTTCGCTCGCAGGTGTTGCTTCATGGCTCTCTTGGTCAACCTCGGTTTCGACCTCTGCACTGGTCTGTTCTAAAGATCCTTCAAACAAAATATTCTAGAAATCGCTGTGTTCCAGCTGAATATTCGCCATCATCTAGTATTACCTGTGCCGATGTCTTTGAGCGCCTTCTCGATGTATGGTCGACATAGATCCTCGGATGGTATCCGTTCTAGCTCGTCTTCGCTTTGCACTCCTGAAATGTTGTTTCAACATTTAACATTTTTCTCAAGACTTTAAAACAAATCTACACCTTATATTTTGAGTATTTTATGTCTTATCAAAGAGAAAGAGGAAGAGGGAGCCAAATAATGAAAAATTAGTCACTCGAAAGAAACAGATGTTTTTAATATTTATTGTAAAAATTTTCATAAAATGTGTTCAACTTTTAATTTCTATATTTTATCAGATTTTCAAAGAACAAATTTTCCAAATATTTTTATGTAGGACACAAGGCAAGTTTTATCTATACATTATTTATCAATCTACGTGTCATGTTGTTGGATTTAAATACACATGTTGGTTCAACTAATTAACTCTCGAAGTTCGATTATATCGATATAATCGAACTTCGAGTCTCGTCCAATTTATCACGTCTGATTAAACCGCGATATCGGATAACAAATCTAGCCACGATGCTTCGAGAAGTTTCGCATACACCGAGATATTTACATTGTTCGCGTTTCGTCGAGTGTGCCCGGCTGCCAGAAATTTTCAAGCGCGAGAGAATTCTCGTTGCGCGCGTTAAAACGCGCGCGTGCCAAAAGGAAATCGCGCGCGGTATTAGATAACCGATTGCGCGCGGAACTTCGGCGACGATGAGTTTAACGCCACGCGACCACCAACCCGAAATATCTGACCCATGTGACGCAATAATCTGTCAAAGTCATTATGCACTCCCGGCGATGCGGGCCGTGCGCGTGCTCGCGCGCGATGACAGGTGTTCAGGAGCTTGTCATCCGATGAAACTTCTGTGTTTGCAAGCTATTACAGGATATTTAAAAAAAATATAGGATGCTATATTATTTTAATTTATGGATATCTCCCTTTTCTCTCTCTCTTTCTATAAGCGATCCAGTTAAGATTTCGAGTTTGGCTGAGAATGCAAATAGTACACGGAGAAAATTTTCTTTTAGAATTAGTCTTGAAAATCATGGTGATCGTGGGATTGCAATATGGTATTGGAAGAATTTTATAAGAGTTTCTCTGATTAATATTTATCATAATTTAATATGTACTATGGACATGGTAAAATTAATTGAACATATTTTTTATATCTTATGATTATTAATATTTTTTATTGTGATAAATAATCAAAGAAACATAAAATTCTTCCAGTAGCATATTGTCTCATGATTATCAGGATTTTCAGAATAAATATTGAGAGAAAATTCTCTCTGTGTAAAAATCGATTTTCAATAACAGAACTTTCTCGCAGAATTTATATTATTATTATGAATTTAATGTTTTACAAAGAGATTATCGAATTAAAAATAATATGTAGAATATTTATATATTTAGAAGATTTGTAATTGCTCCAATCTTAAAATTTTTCTGTAACTTTAAAAACAATATACTCTTAATGTGTACATGATTAATAAAATAGAAAAATATATGCAATTATAAAATTGAGATATATTTGTGAAATAGATATTATATATTTGATTCCATTAACACATAATGCAATATTTTGACTACTGTTGTTCGAGTAGTTAGTTTGTATTCCCACTTATCTCTTTCCTTAGAATATGTTTACGAGAAAGTCTTAACTCAATTTTTTCTCAAGTCGTATATGTACGATATTGATAGCAGTTTGCTCGTGACGAGACCTAATTTAATAACCGCATAAATGCAGCTGTGAAACGCGAAGACGGCGGAATTTCTACCGAAGAAAATGTCGATATCATCTTTCTAGGCGGTACCTGGGACGTGGCCGGCTTCTAAGTTTAGCGGCGGGTAGGCGGCTTTGAGTCGAGCAACACTCGAAAATATTTATATATTAGGCGAGCGAATAGTATTTTTATCGTCTCTTCCTGCGAGGAAAAGCTATGAATTGATAGGACCAGCCATTTCTGTCGGTCGAAATTTATTAATTGTCAACGATTAATATTATACATTATTCACATTTGGCTCAAATGAATTTTTATCATTTTATATTTCTTAAAGGAAAAGTGCAAAGAGGAAAATTTAAATAAATATTGAAGTAGTGTATTTTGATTATAACTTCTTGAGTAGAAAAGAGGGCATTTTAAAAGGCAATTAAACTCTCTCTTTCTAGTTATGACATAATTCGACGAGGTAGATACTGTGAAAATGATAAGGGAAATTGAAATAAAATCGAAAAAGACATCTTGCCAGTTCGATCGTTGTTCAAGCTTGAATGTCGCCGGTGGTTACTTAAACGTCAGATAGATACGAGAGAATCATTGTAGTTTATGAGCTCACGTGATCATCGTAAACACGAAAAGTTCCATTTCGTGCGGTAGTCTCGCTATATCTCATTGTTATATCATGTACGGTAATTTCTGGCACAAAGCTCCATTTCTATCTTTTAGCTTTTCCGAGAAAGGAAATAGCTTCTTGCTTTTAATCGGCACGAGTCCATTTAGCCTTCTCTGATATTACATCGTTAAACTGCGCTTTTCTTCCTCTATTTATTTTATTTATAAAAATAATCTTTTCTCTTTCACATACCGTAGTATCTCGTACGAATAATACACCGATAAAAAATTTATTGAATTCGAATAAATATTTATTTCAATGCTGAATGCTGTCTTATAAATCATTTATTTGAAACTAATAATATTGATTTAACGTGGAAAAACATTTATCTGATAAAAGAAAATCTATTTCAAAACAAATAAATGTTTGTTTCAAATAAATAATTTATAAGGCAGTATTGAAATAGATATATTTACTAATTTAATATTTTTTCAGCGTGTATACGATAAAATGTATATTTAATACGTGATTTAAAAGCGCAGAGAGACAAATGTGAATGATCGTACGCTGTCTTTGAAGATCGAGCCATCATCGAGCGTATATCGAAAATTGTATACTATTACATTTCTTCGTCTTCTCAGACTTGTGTTTCCTGTCGTTTTACGAGGTAACGCGATTATACGAGCAAATTTTGAGTTACGAGTGATAGGAGGAGACGCAAGCAGGCAGCTGTCGTTTGGCAAGCACAGCTGCGCCGGATAAAGATAGAACCTCCGCGAGTCTTGTTCCATAGTCTATGATATGTATAGCTTTTCGCAGTACTTGGTTAGTTGTAGGGAATTTTTGCGATTATCATCGTCGTAAAAAAAAAAAAAAATTCGAACTTAAGATTCAACGTGGACAACTCTTTTCTCTATGCCCGTTTATCGATTCATTTTTATAAAATAAAATCTTCAAGCACGTGCGTTTCTTTATAGAAATTTATAATCGGTTATCGAGCGTGACTTTACTTGGAAAGCGAGCTTTTGATTGATTTCCGAGAAAAGCGAATTGAATTTATATTTTCATGTATAATTTATTATTCGATCGGAGGAAAACCGAGGGGAAATGGAATTTTCGGGTCATAATTAGAACAATTCGCGTTTCTCGGGGCTTAGAACAAGGCTGGCACGGATTTATGCGGTTTCTTATGTAATTATCGTGCAGCTTGATGACAGCCAACTCCCATCGATTCCCAAAATAACAAATCCTTGAATCAACATTTTATTTAAACTTTGAAACGACACGTCGAATGCTTCTTTAGCTATCAGCGATTTAAATCTCGAAACAGGAAATATCTTTATTATGAAGTAGGAGGATATATTTAAAATTTATTTAGCGATATGCAGTAATTCGTCAATTGATTTTAATTGGCAATAGCATTATTAAGAATTATAAAAATTAATTAAAATGTCTGTATTGTATTTAATGGATTTTATTTAAGTCATTTGATCAAATAATAAATTAATAAACTCGGAGAATACACGTGAGCATAATTTTATTTTTTGGACAAAATAAAAATATTGAATTATATAATAATTAGAATTATCAGTGATTCTAGTGGTAGATCATTAGTTATTCTTAGGGCTGGTTGTTCCAACTTCTCGGTAAGTTTTACCCAACAGGTAGTATATCTTCATCTCTTATTTTAGAACTTATCTAAAAAGAGACGAAATTATGCTATTTGTCCAGTAAAACTTCAAGAAATTGGCAAAATCAGTTGTTAGTAGATTTCCAGCCGAAATGATGGTGAAGCATTAGCGCATCTATAGAGATGAGAAGACTACTGTAGGAATCTATGACGTGTACCTGCAATTTTACGTAACATTGACCTTCGTCAGTCAATCGTCACAGCTTTCGTCAACGTCTCAATCTCATTGTCGTCAACGATTCGTGTTAAATTTGCACATTTCTCGAAGCAACATCACTTTTCTCTCGATTCAACATTTCCAATTCATCTTTGAATGGACCCCGAGAGAAGTTCGAAATCTAATTCAAGTTACGAAAATCCAACAAGCACAGTTGTGTGCAAAATAATAGCACCAAGGAAATTTGTGTATTTCCGTCCTTAAAGGATTTCCTGGTATTCGTTCGAGGACCACAAAAGTCAGAATTTAATTGCAGACAGTCAAACATGGTGGAGGAAATTCCCCTCATTTTTTCAACCGGTGCCATTATTGTGCACATAACTGTATATCTTATATTGAAAGCAGGTTTTCCAAGTAAGAACAACTAACCGAGCTGATGAGAAGCGGATTGAAGGGTTTAGTTGACATTCTATCAACCGATATAACTTGAGCAATATAACTCATCTTCCATCCTATTCTAGATCCTGGGACCTATTCGGGTGCGATTTTACTGACCTTGCAAGGCGACAGCTAGGATGGCCAAGCAGACCCACGACGAGCGCGGGTCTCATCCGCGCGCCCGTCATCTCGTCGCACTAGACACTACGCGATCGACCGGGGCCAGGGCTGGCACACAGAGCTCGTCCTCTCTCACTTCTCGATCTCGTCGTCGCCCTCGGCTCCAACTAGCCCGCGAGATACTGGCATTGTCACTGCCGCCAAACCCCGAAGACGCCCCTCTCTTTTTCTATCGCTTCTTCTGCCTCTTCTTCGGCCTCTTCTTGCCCGACGGATGACGGACGATCGGCGCCGATTTTTTTCTCCACTGTCACGAGGATCACCTCGCGGTCATCGGCCGAGATGGTGTGAAAAACTTGGTGCAGAGCAGTGCTATCGAGCACGTCACTATTTTAGAGTATCACGACTGCGAGAGGAACTGTTTATCCATTCTACGAGGCTGCGATCGACGTTTATTAGATAATTTGGCTCCGAGCACCGGTGCGACGATGTATCAATTCGATGACCCAGAACCCTCGATGACGAATCTCGATATCGCCTATTTCCTCGAAATCTCCTCCACCTGGTTGTGACGTATAGGAAAGCGCGTAATGTTAAGGGAACGGGAGAGGAAGTGGAGGAGTTTAGAATGGGCAGCTTTTATTTTTACGATGATTACGGAGGCGCGACGTAGATCAAGGTCGCGATCGAAATAGTTTCGATGTAACATTTAGGTTGCGAGCTCGCGATTTCTGCTAAAATCGGGATTCGCTGCCCAATCCTCGTCGCCTATCAATTACACGATCGTTTCGAGAAGAGGGGATATGTGCTTTCCGCTCATTTTTGTATCTCAATGCATCTTTGAAATTTTAGATTTATTTGCTGTTTCAGACAAAATATAATATCAATTAATTTCTGAATATTCAACATTTTGTTATATTTATTATTATATAATATTAATATTACTTGCTATATTATAACTTGATAATATTAGTTAATCAAATATTTATTTCTGAAGATTTTCATTATTAATTAATACTAATGTTTATTAATTATCTAAATTTTATTTAAATTTAATTATTTGTGGAAATAATGCTAAACGCTTTTTTTACCTTCTAACAACTTGAAGTATATACTTCGCAACTTGATAATTCTAACAATGACTCTCTTCAAGTACTACAACATCTTTCCTTTACTGATAGTCGCGCGGCTCGAAATTTCGGGCTATATCGTCGCGCATTTAAAAATATCCCTCGGTAGTCCCGGCGCTCATCGAGGGTTCTATCTGGACCAGGAGCCAGGTAGAAAGATAGCCGACATAAATCGTGAATGGATCATTCGATGATCCTGCACGTCGCGCCTAGCGAGTTGCATTCGAACGTCATCTCGCCCTAATCTCACCCTCGCGTTGCGCGCAACTTCTGCCGTCACCTACTTATTTATCTACTTATTTTTTTTTCCTTTTTATATTAATAATGAAAGCATGTCATATAGTCTATTTTCTACCGTCGCGCTTTCAATCGTCTGCTAAACAGTGTTGTTCGCGAGAAAGCGCGCGTTGGAACGTTAAAGCCGCATTCACCTAGCGTCGATGTTGATGAGGAAATAAAATTGAGTACACATTTTCAGAAAAATTAAGAAGAAACTTGCATATTTTTAACAGAAAGAATTTTCTGTTGGAATTTATCCTGAAAATATCATAATGGTGTTGGAAGAATTTATTATAAGAGTTTCTCTAATTAATATTTATCACAATATAAAATATTAATATGTACATAGTAAAATTAATCGAACATATTTCATATTCTTATTGTGATAAATATTAATCATAGAGAAACTCTTATCAAATTCTTCCTTATACCATGTTATCTCACGATTACCAGGATTTTCAGGATAACTTCTAAAAAAAAAGAATCTCTCTCCGTGTGAAATTCGTTTTTTGCATTTTTCCGATTTCATTTCTGAAGTGAGAATGTTTATTTCTCACGTCTCACGTGTCTTTGCTTCATTCTCGTTTTGGGAATATGAAATTACGACTTGTATTAATAATTGATTTTCTCGAAGGATTAAGATCGAAAAATAATGTAAAATTTCCGAGATACCAAAATATCTCATATCTTGAAAAATTCATTTATTACGAGGAGGAGAATTTCGCCGCTTCGTCGGCGAGTCCGACTAAGCGAAGCATAGCATAGGACGAGATTCGCCGCAAAATACAGACGTACGCACAGACGTGGAGAAGCGTCAGAACCGCGGGCGCCTTTATATTTAGAACCCCGGGTCGCACCCGTATAAGGTGGCCCGTCGTGCAAAAGTCCTCTCTTTCTCCTCTCCTCCTCTTTCTCTCTCTCTCCCTCTCTCTTTTCGTCTTTCCCTCTTTTTTTTACTGAAATTTTTACGGTATTTTTAATTATATTTAATATTTATAATAAATTTGTGCTTAAACGAAATAATTATTTAAGTACTTGCCCTACTTAAGAGAATAACTGCGACATTTCGCACACATTCATATAATTGTCTTGTTATTTTATTATATATTCGATGACATAAATACGTGGAGTTTTTTTTATGTGCAATTTTAATTGATCATGTTATCTCATGTATAAAATTCTCGGGTGCAAATCTAATAGTGAATTCGATTAGATGCACTGTTGCACAGTAAAGGCTATCGTATACATATTTACAATAGCATAAATAATTAAAATAGTATAAAATGATTAATGCTATTATTCATGTTGAATAACAACAATAATTTATATAGTATTAATTGTGTTACTGTTTTAGTTATTTATGCTATTGTAAATTTGTATACGGGTCTTTAATATGCATTAGTTCATCCAAATAAAATCGCTATAAGAAAAGCTCTGCATACCACGTTTGCTTAAAAAGCGCTTCACCAGCTAATAAATTTTAATTATACTTGAACAGGCTTTTATCACGTATTTGCAAAATTAATTCAATATCCTTTGTTATTTCCAACTCTGCTGCAATGTTATATTCTCCACGAGTAATTCTCAATATTTTTTACACTTTCAACAATATGCTCCGATATTTAAATGGTTTCGCAAATTAAATTTATATATGTCAATATAATTTATATATGTTGACGTGAGCGTCACAAAATAGCTTGATGTTTCACATATCCTTTTATCTGGATAATAAAATTATCAGTGACATTTATTGGCGGTTAGACGAATCGCAATCTATAATAAGCTTGCTCATTATATGTACATATACATAGATACAAGCTTAATTACATACCGTCATAATATGTATACTCCGGCCAGAAGCATGTTTCACGTCATTTTAATTTAAGATTTGGACGACTTCCTAAAGCCCCACGAATCATCTCTTTCCCGGAAAAGATCACCAGGATGTTCCATTTACTTATACCTATGTTTAGATCGAACCTTGCGCATTCATCATCAAGTTCACAGCATCATTTCGCACGATCGATCTCCTATTAATAGTCATTTTTAGAGCACGCATGCATAATATCTTTATGTCTATTTTGTGTTTGTGGCATGCATACGTGTGCACTTTGTAGGATTTAACTTTGTAAACACTAACATGTGGTAAGTGAACTTTTTTTTCATTCTTTAAGTTTCGTATTAACTGTTTTGGAAGAGGGAGCTTTTTTCTTGACTTTTTCCCTGAGTTCAAATAATTATTTATAATTTTGGGAATAGAGAGATTGAATAAATAGATAAATATTATCTATCTCGATGTACACTAGGCGCGAAAGATAGAAGAGCACAAGAGGAAGATGGAGCGAAAGGCGCAGGAAAAATTGGAGCGCGAGAGGCAGGAAAGAATACAAAAAGCTCGAGAGGCCGCAAGAGCTCGCGAGGAAAATACGCGAACATCTCAGACGGACGCCGGCGGCCCGTCTCCCGGGGATTTCTATCAATTCCTCAAAGATCCCGACGTACTTCAATCTTTCCAAGTAAGTCAAACGAGAGAAAGTCGCGCGAGTCTTTAAATAAGTCAAGAACACTCAGTCACGTGTTCACGCGTACTCTCTATTGGAAAGTACCTTATGCGTTATTGGATAAAAATACAGAAAAACATACATATATCCGTATATATATTTATTTTTCTACCGATTTCAACGTTGACTGACGAACGTATCCGCAGGATCCGGAAGTGTCCGAGGCCTTCAAGGATATCTCCGCTAATCCGACAAATGTTCTGAAATATCAGAACAATCCCAAGATAATGGGTCTTATCAATAAAATGGCCTCGAAATTCGGCGGTATTGGTGGCGCTGCTGCCGGAATGAACTTCCCAGGTGGCATGCCCGGTTTTCCTGGTGCCGGGATGGGACGTCCGAACCCTCCGAAACCACCGCAGGATGACGTTGGCCTCGACTAATCATTTCTATCCTCGCAATGTATGCATGTTGATTAGCTGACTCATTAAAGGCTCATTTGCATTTAGCTGTTCCTTTTATGTTGCGCTGAATCGCGCCAAAAAAGGATTTGAAAAATCTTGACAATATTGATATCATTGATCATAATTAATGGATCGATTATATAAACGTTGAATTAATTCTGCATTTTTGTTCTTGTTATTATTTTCACTGTAGATAAAATCTTTGGTTTGAATTGTGTACTATATTCCGCAAATTATTCGATTTAAATTTCTTTTATTTAAAATAATTTATTTCTGTTGTATTTTTTTGCAATTTATTAGAAAACCACGTGTCTCTTAATGCTAAGTCTCTTAATAATAAAGTGTAATTGCGTTGGGGAAATATAAAACGAACGCCTTTAATGAGTTAAAAAAGCGCTCTATTGTTTATATCTCTCGCTCTATAAAATACAAAAAAATATAAGTATATGTAAAATCAGATATATACGAACAGCATGTACATCAGTGATATGTTTATATATTCGAAAAAGAACTTTTATTGAATCAATATAGTTTGTTATACATTATAAAGCGCCCTTTGCGCGTTTTCTAAGAAGACGAATTTCGTCGTATGTGTGCGTTGTATTTCATTACCTAATGCCCCCATTTATCGTCTCTGTTATTAACAGCTTCTCAGGCAGGTATTGTCTCTCGAAATAGCGTCAAGTTATTTGTCCGACTCGCAAAAGATCGACGATAACAAAGCTAATTATTTAGCTAAAATTGGCTACATATAGTCGTTGACATTTTATTCTCAACGTTCACCTTGTTTAATATCTATATGTCTCAGTGCCATACATTAAGGTATGTGTATACTAATTAATTTGATGTTATCGAGTTGGTTAATTACGAATTAACTCGTGATGAATAATCTCTCATAATGTGATGGTTCGCAAAATGAAAAATTTAACGAAATAGCCATTAAATTTATTATTGCTATTATATCCCTGTATATCGTTCGCAATTTAATGAGGGAACTATATCGGCACTGCCCTGATTTTTTCGTCCAAGAGATAATATTATATTATACATTGAAATAAAATAAAGCATTGATTACGAAAATAAAACACCACTTTGTATGCGAGATAGATATAAACTGTCACGTTGAGTACTTATAAGGTATTCAAATAATGCGACCTAACATTCTACAAGAAAGCTCGGCAGTAGAACTCCATTTATCAGTATCGTATTTTAAAAAGGGATTTCACAGATCGAGCTTTCATCGGAAGTCTTACGAAAAAATACAATATAATAGTTGGTAGTTCTTTTTCGTTTACACTACCATAATTAATAATCAAAATACGACAACATAGTTATCGGTTTGCGGACACAAATAATCTTAAGAATTAATAATTAAGCTTTAAAATATTGATAGTGTTTAATAACACATTATTCGATTAATAAATATTGATGGCGTATTTACTAAACACAGTTATTTTTGCATAAACTATTAATACATCGAGTAGATATTAATCTCCTCTCTACACTCTACACGAAATTATTTTATATATATACCTGAAATGTGTTGATTGATTGAAATACGATTATTTCACACAACACTTGATTATGTACTAATATAATCTATTATTTGAAATCATGTATAAAAATAGCGAGAAAATTGGAGGAGAGAAAATATTCTTACTAAGAGATTTTGTTCCTTAGATTATTGAAGGAACATAAAAAGTTATATCTTGAGATTATTCCAATAAACGGAGTTCTACCGAGGATTCTGTTGCGTGTTATCCTCTGTCAGATCTATATATATACATATATAAATATATATATATATATATATATATATATATAAAATATGTTTGCAATAAATATATACAAAAATATATCATTCGCGAATAATAATTACAACTCTCTCTTTCTTTCTGCGTTAATTATTAAAGGTTGCATCGCTCATTATTCTCACGAATGCAAACCCGATGGCTCTCGCGACAGAGACGCTCGTCGTCGTCTATGGCGCTCGTTTACAGCGATTATTTGTACACTATAGCGTGAACTTAAATCTAGAAATATTGCACGTGAAAAAACCGAAAGGCATATCGCACTATTCGGAGACAGAGCGTTGTGCTTCAGACATGGAAAAGTTGGAAAAGCATAATCGCGTCATCATTGAAGCGACAAATGCGATCCACGGCATGAGTTCAGATTTTATGCGAAATTTTTTTTCCATTTATAAACCAAGTTGGAATTGTGACGTCACAGGCGGAAAAATACATGCTAAACATTTTTAGATGCCATTTTTATAAACCAAAAGATATTTCGAAGAGTAGCACTTCAGATGGCTTTAGCGCACACTCTTAAAATACCTCAAAAACTATCCTTTATAATTAATCAACAGCTGTAAAATGATTGTAATATGAGATCCAGTTGGTCTAGTCCTTGCACGATCATTTTACGGTTGTCGATTGATTGTCAAAGGAAAAGAATAGTTTCCGAGGTATCTTAAAAATGTGCTAAAGCAATGTGAAATAGTGCTTCACAAAATATCTTTTCATTTAAAAATGGCATCTAAGAATCTTCATCGTGCGTGCTTTCTCACCTCTGGTGTCACAATCCAACATGGTCGCTGCTCCAGCTCCAGGCAGAAAACTTCAAGAAACCTTGTTTAACAATTTAATTTCAAATGACATAAAACACTAAGGAAAGGCTCGATCACAAAATTTCCATCTTGTTCTACACTTCCACTTGATTGAATTTTTGCTCGCGATCGTACGAATAAATGCTACGTTCTCCTGATCTTGAGCATATGCAAATTGGGGTGCCATGGCACTTTTCTGAAGGTCGACGCTCTTGTCTCCTCCTCGGGCGACGGATTGTCTTCATTGGCCTCGTCTATCGACGCCCACATAAGATCGGCGCCGGCGCTGCTAAGTACTCGGCGATGTCGCGTCGGGTCCAGCCGAGTACCGGCGTTCCATCCTCCGGGATCGCTCAGTACTCGGCGGTGTCTCTTCTGCTGGTGACGGTGATGATGATGATGATGATGATGGCGATGGGGATGACGATAATAATAATAATGGTGATGATGCTGCTCGGACGACGCCAGCGACGCGTCGCACTCCAGACTCGGTAGGCGGTAGGGAAAAACAGGATTCGGATCCAGGTACAACCAGCTCGCGCTGTCCACGTAGGGTAGAAGGTGCATCGCGTCTAGCGACAGCGAATTCGGATACAGTGGCCGCTTGCAAACGTGTCCGCTGTCCGGCGACGATTTAAACATCAATCTTCGACGGCAATCTTGAGGATCTTTCAGGCCAGGACGATGCAGTCTGTCGTCATTGCATGTTTTATGAGCGAATTAATACACGGAGGGAATTTTTTCTTTGAATTTATCCTGAAAATCATGGTAATCGTGGGATAATATATGGTGTTGGAAGAATTTTATAAGAGTCACTCTGATTAATATTTACCAAAATAAAATATAAAATTTACTATGTACATATTAGTATTTTAAACTCTTATAAAATTCTTCCAATACCATATTGTCCCACGATTACCATGATTTTCAGGGTAAATTCTAAAAGAAAATTTGCTCTGTGTACGCGTAACCGTCTATTATTAATAATTATTATTATATTATTAGCAGCGAAATAATTATAGGAGATGTATGCGATAAAAGAGGCATTGAAAGGATATTAAAAAATCCTGGAGACATGTAGCAACGTCTCGAAGGAGAATAAAAATTGTTTTCTTCCTTTAAAAAGAGGTTGTACGAGCCACAAATAATGATGGGAAAAAATGATAATAATGATAAATTAGAGGACATGAAAATTGCTCAGACATGTGTCGTGTCACGTAATTGAAATCGCGCCGACGCGACGCACCTGCACGAAAGTCGACGTGAGATTCCGCGTTGTCAGTTGAGAGGATGCTCCCCTCGCGGCGTTCTGTAACACTTGTTCCAGGCCTCGAGCAGCAGCACGCAACTGTGAAATCTGTAGAAGATGAGGAGAGGCAAACCGATTCGCGAGAGAACGCCCCAGGCGAGGACGCCGAAGAAGCGGAGCTGCAGCTCCTGCGACAGCCAGTTCTGCGTGATGACGGTGTCGAAGGCCCACAGGACGGCGTTGCTGAAGAGCAGGAAGGTGATCACCTGACGGCCGGGTTTCGCCAGCATCTGGAATCGCGTGATGCACGAGCGTCGCGACGTCTCGGCAATCAGCGTGCTCTGGGCAAAGCACTGCACCAGCTGCAGGATCGACGTTGACAGCAGCATGATGTGTCTGGCGCGCGCGTCCTCGCTCTCGCCGTGATCCGACATGACCAGGGAGCAGGCGCACACCACGATGGTGAACACGGAGTACAGCTGAACCCCGAAGAGCGACACGTTCGACAGAAGATTGTCCAGGGCGGGTGGCGCGCGCGACACTATCGAGATCTGTCGCACCTGCACGAGACCGCTAGCTGTCATCAAGCTGCTCAGCGTCAGGATGCCGATCAGGGTGCCGCAGGTGAGCCAGGACAGCGTTGCGGACGGGAAGTTCTCGTCCTCGCGCACCACGAGGAAGATCAGGATCACCACGATGCCGGCAACCATGCAGAGGATGCCCAGGAAGAGACCCTTGCTGGAACCGTCGCAGCCTACCCTAGTGTGCCCGCCTAGATCCTTGCTGCCGTGGAATTTCTGCTTGGTCAGTCGACTCCGACCGACGTTCTGACCCATCACGAAGGTCACCGCGGCGGCTATCAGACTGAAAGGGAGAGATAAATCAATTATGAGAGTAAATAATTTAGAGAATTTAAAATTAAGGTGGATATTTTCTTCGATCAAAAACCGGCATGTAATTTGTTGTATAATGTTTCTTTATGAATTAAAACACAATGTTTCAACCATTCAAAAAAATTAGCGACACCAAAGTTAATTAGGTACGCAAAACGGAATATAAGAATATAGAATACGTACTTTTTAATAATAAGTCATTTGCTTGTCTGAAGCAGAGCCTCATTTTATTAGTAGAAATAGATTTAAAACATGTCATAAGCGGTGTGTTTTAATTAATAAAGAAACATTCAAATTACATGCCGGTTTTTGGTTGAAGAAAATATCAACCTCAATTTTAAATTATGAGAGTTAATATTTGTACGAATAAAAAACTTGATTTTATTAAAAATTTAAATGAAACATTTCTCTTATATAATACCATTTATTTGATTTAATTTGATAAATTAAATTAAAATTCGAAAAGTTTAGCCGCAAATAAAAACTAGTAAATAAAAAATAAAAAAATATGATAGGTACCTAAATTGCACGATAAAGGGATAGAGGAAGGGCATGCTTGACGTCCACAACTGTCCTAGAGTATTAGTATTTAGGCATTCTTGTAGCGCGATTACTTGTGAGATTTGCTCGTTCGAGACAGGTTGATAAGCCCTGAAGTTACTTTCTCTCGTCGGCGAATCATCTGAAATATATAAAGAATTCCCAGTATTCGCTCTCGAAAAATGTGCTCGCTTGGCAAGACAAAAAATCAAATACCTAGAATAAGATCTCGCGATTGCCTCGTCAAGGATCCGGGAAATCCTCGAAGACTCAAAGGAGATGCGGACGTTTCCTGCTCGTGCTGCGCCAAATGCACAAAGTAAGTCCATTCTTGTGCGGAATCCCAAATCACCAATCGTACCCAGACCGCGACATTCGTGGCTGCGAGGTGGGTGAAACCGAAACGAGCTGCCAGACCGAAACGTTCTACGAGGACCTGTACAAATGTAAGAGATAGACATTAGAATGCATTCTCCTTTGGATGTAAATAAAATTGTGAAATCGATGGAATCGTAGAATCGCTCGAAGACACATATTTTGACGAGAAATTTCGTTTGAAATTTAGATGAAATTTCGAGACTCCTTCGTTTCGCAATACATCCAACAATGGTATAAAGTAGTATGTAGCGATACACACAATCGTAGGCGCATCAAAGCGTAACGAAGAAACGCGTCTACGCATTGTCCGACCGTGCACGCTCGGCACCTTATTTAATGCAATTAAACGTAAGACCGACGCTTGCCTGCGAGTTTACGAAGAGAAAGTGCATCTGCAAGAAGGTGAACAGTCCGTGCATCACCGGATGCACAAAGACGACATCGGTCAAGCACTCGGCGCCCTGCATCATCGTGTGCATCGCCATCTCCAGACCGTTGAACACCAACGTCGCCAGACCGAATACTGAAAACCACATGTTAATTAACGAAATTTACAAGTAAATTCATTAAATGAAATTTTGCCGCATTTAGAATTTTATTCAATATTGAAATTTATTTTTTTAACGTGCGATATACTCTATATGAAATTAAATTTTATATACCTATATTTATATTTTTTTACAATTAAAATATGATATAAAGAATTATTAAATATTTTCAATTTAACATTTAATATAAAATTTGTATTCTTATTGTTAGTTTAAAATTTAATTTCTGTATTTATTTATGTATTTATTATATGTATCTTACACCACAAGAGAATTTTCTTTTAGAATTCATCTTGAAAATCTTGGTAATGGTGATACAATATGGAAGAATTTTATAAGAATGTTTCTGATTAAATATTTATTACAATAAAAAATATGAATATGTATATAGGAAATTTTAATATGTACATATTAATATTTTTTTATTATGGTAAATATTAATCAGAGAACTCATAAAATTTTTACTAAATTATAACACTTCTATATTTCTTTCATTATTTATACACAGAGAGAAGTTGCTTTTAAAATTTACCCTGAAAATCAAATTAATATCTATGAAAATGTTTGATTAATTTTACTATACATAGTATAAAATTGATCGAACATATTTTATATTTTATTGTGATAGATATTAATATTTTGATTTCAGGATAAATTTTAAGAGAACATTCTGTGTATAAAACAATGAAAAATCAGAAGTGTTATATTAAAATATAAATTAAATGCATACTAATTTTTTATTGTATTTTAATTGTAATGACAAAAAGTTTAAATTTTAATATCAATATGCACAAAGAATTCACATACATGGAGAAAATTTTCTCTGAAAATCATGAAATTGTGAGACAATATGGTATTGGAAAAATCTTAAAAGAGTTTCTCTGATTAATATTTACCACAATAAAAAATATTAATATATACATAATAAAATTAATCGAATATATATTTTATATCTTATTGCGATAGATATTAATATTTTTATTCTGGTAAATAATTAGAGAAACTCTTACAAATTCTTTTAATATAATCTTGTCTTACAATTCTAAGAGAAAATTATCTCTGTGTAGAATTTTTAGAAAAATGCTTCTGGCTTGATTATCGCACCGCGACATCGAGAAACATCGCAGTCGTCCGATTATCCCGGATTAACATCATCATCACTTACGGAGCGCGCCGACGCGTATGTAAAAACTGGTCGGAGCGGTCCTGGCCCTGGAGATGTGCGCTCGTTTTAATGATCCGAACCTGGTGAGCGACGCGCCGCCGAGTTCCGCGTCGCCGAGCCCGTTACGGCTGCGGCTTAAGCTGCTACAGCTGTCAATCAAGACCCATATGTAGATTGCGATGATAACAGCGATGCTTCCCACGTAGAGATACATGAGGAAGATGCCCTGAAACACGCAGAGTTACGTAATTCTTTAAGCAGCGTATATGCAAAAAAAAATCCAGGCACCAGATACATATAAAATTCGGGAAGCTCCTGAACAAGAAATTATACCGATCCGGTTCTTTAAAACTCGTTGACCACGTGCCGGTTCATCTACGTGGCTGATCCCTATCATTTTATGCGAATGAGAGCTCTGTGAACTCGTACGAATTCGATTGCACGCGATCACGAACGTCGACTTTCAGTATCTATTTCACATGTCAAAGTTGTTCTATTCATATCAAATTGCTTTCTAGATGTCATTCAAAATTATTAATTGCTAGAGTATAATTAACTATGTTATGGAATACATTTTTTTGTATTTTCATAAAAATTGAGGCACAAATTAAATTCAATAATTATAATATTATATAATGATACAAATATATTTCTTTGATATTTATAACGCAAGGAAAGAAGAAAACAAGAGAGTTGCTGAAATGTCAAATGTTATATCCTGGAGAAATAAAAAAAATCGTCGTCGCGATATAATCTGGGGATGCTAGGTATTTTCAGGGAGATATCCAAACCCCGAGTTTCTAGCTCAAGGTCGCCCGATCTCGACACGTGTACTCGGACTTTCCCCGGATTGTATGAAGTAACGGTACGATAATCCCAAGTCTGACAGCGCAAACGTTACTTTCGAGACCTCGACGCGTTGCACGTTATCCTAGAACGCGAATTCGCTTTCCTGATTCATCCGACGTGACGTTCGCGATAATCCGCGGGAATTATTAATCTGTGAAATCAGACGTGGACTGACAAGGTTCAATTATTTACCTGCAAACTGAGCAGAGGCACAGGCGTGTCCATGACCTCGGCCAAACACACCGCTAATGTCAGCACGACGATCAGCTCGCCGTACACGTTCGAGAGAACCACCCATAATTGCGAGCTGTAACAAAATCACGCAGTAAAGAAAGAGAGAGATGAAAATAATGATTTTACAATTTTTTATCAACTGAACAATGTACCATGCACAGGAAAAATTTTCTCTTAGAATTTACCTGGAAAATCATGGTAATCGTGGAATTTTATGAGTTTTTTTAATTAATATATTTACCACAATAAGATATCAAATATGTTCGATTAATTTTATCTGTACATATTAATATTTTTTATTGTGGTAAAGAGAAATTCTTATAAAATTCCACGATCATCATGATTTTCAGGATAAATTCTAAGAGAATTAACCCTTAATTCAATTGAAAATAACTTTTCGTGGATTTGATTGAATTAAAAATAACGAATTTACAATTTTTTATGAACAATGTACATTACACAGGGAAAATTTTCTCTTAGAATTTACCTTGAAAATCATGATAATCGTGGAATTTTATGAGTTTCTTTAATTAATATATTTACCACAATAAGATATCAAATATGTTCGATTAATTTTATCTGTACATATTAATATTTTTTATTGTGGTAAAGAGAAATTCTTATAAAATTCCACGATCATCATGGTTTTCAGGAATCATAGTATCGTAAAATTTTCTAAGAGTTTCTCTGAGTAATATATATTTACACCACAATGAGATATAAAATATGTTCGATTAATTTTACCATGTACATATTAATATTTTTTATTGTAATAAATATTAATCAAAGAAACTCTTATAAAATTCTACAATCACCATGATTTTCAGGGTAAATTCTAAGATAAAATTTTTGTCGGTGTATATATCTTATCACTCTTTGAAAAAGGATCTCGCACTAATTCAATTGAAAATAACGTTCCATCGAATTGACTGAATTTTTGTAGTTTAAGGCATTCTAATCAAAAGATGTAACAGCCTTAGAGCTAAATAATGGGCAGTTACTAAGTTACAACCAGTCAAACGTTTCGAGTTTTTCTTGTTTGACTGGCTGTAAGTCAGTAACTATCTATTATTTAGCTTTGAGCTTACATTTTTGTTCAGCAAATCATAAGCTACAACATACGAGAAAATCAGCTGACTTTACCAAGATTCTGTTTCATCTATGATTTTATTTGTAAGTTCAAAAACCCCGCACTTATCCTATATAAAATTGAATCTTAGTAAAATCAGCGCATATATTGTAGCTTATGATCTGCCGAATAAAAAGTAGATTTTTTACATCTTATTTCAACAAAAAAATATCAATATCTAAAATTAAGATAAAAAGTAATATTAATATTAACAATATTATATAATATATTATAATATATTATTATTATATATTATTATTATATATATTAATATTAAAATATATATATATATATATATATATATAATATTCTATTAATTTTTTTAATAATCATTAAAATAATATTAAATATTATATAATATATTAACAATATTATATAATATATTATAATATATTATTATTATATATTATTATTCTATTATATAATATATTATATTATATGTATTACATATTAAAAACATATATAATATATAATATTCTATTAATTTTTTTAATAATCATTAAAATAATATTAAATATTTTTGATATAAGACACGCTGTTTACGCGACAGGACGATGACAGGAATAATAGTTTGCGCTCTTACTAAGGTTCCGAGTGGTCTAGAAGGTCCTCGTGCGACCTCGTCCTCGCCAGGATCCTGGAGACCAAGGATCTCGCCGGTTGCGACGAGGTGGACGGTTGCGCTGGCGGTGGCTCATTTTTGTCCTTGGCTTGACCCCTGCAGCCCGAGGGGCCACCACTCGGCGCGCCCTCCACGGTGCCCCCGGTTGTACTTCCGGTCTCGTTCAGGCTGTCCTTGTCGTGCTGCTCATTGCTCGCTGCGAAAGGAAAAATGAGAGGAGGATTAATGAATTAATGAGATACGCGCGCGTGTGATATTCGACGCGTACGCAGCGGCCGGAAAAGTGGAATCCCGCTCGTGCTTCTTCTCTTGCCACTTTCTTTCTCTGGCCTGCCGGGTCGTCGGGAGAAATGTGTGTAACTTTCGCTGGAAGAATTTATACGTGTACGTTTATTTCTGCGCCCGCGGCGTTTAAAGATTTATAAATCTCACCGCAATTTCGTCTGAAAAATCGTTCGACACTTCGGGCTGCTTCATTTGTGCACGGATGATTTTGAACGTGTGGAACGAGAGAGAGAGAGTTCAATTTTATAGAGATTTAATGTATCTGTATGATATTGAATTTATATTAAACTTCGGTGAAAAATTTTCGTCCCTTTCACTGCAATATTGAATTATGATGACAGAAGCGAGAGATCGCATAAATTTTTTTTTCTAGCGAAATATATTGAAATAAATCAACTCTCTTTCATATGGACGTCATGTTTGATATATATACATATATTGATGAAATATATTGAAGAGTCTTTCTTGGAGAGATTCATCGATTAATAAATATTTGTAGAATAATAATTCTTAATATACGGCTTTATTTAAGGAAACGCAGAAGTCTTAACGTTTCTGTGCTAATGTGCACAATGTTGAAATAGAAATTCTAAAAGTATATTTTTCCTTTCTTTATTGCATGAATTTTGAGCGATTGAATTAAATTACGAGTCGAAAAGCACCCATAACTTCGCAACTGTTTTAATTATCATAAATTGAGATTAATCAAGGCAAAGAAAGAACTTCATTTTCGACTTTTTAATGTATTTAATGAAATAAAAACTAAACTATGTAATTCGATTTCTTTTTCATTTGGAATTTTTGTCGGTCATTACATCGTGGATTATTATAATTTGTAATATATCGAGCGAATCAATTTTAATTAAAAATGCAAAGCTACATTTACATTAAATATAAATTACTCGTTCTGTTGCACACGTAAACTGTCAACTCATACAGCACAAAATATTTTTAAAAGATTTTCAAAGATTTTCAAAAATATTTCTGAAAATATTTTTTAATCGTGAAAAAGCATAGAAACATTTTAAAAATATTCTCCATATGTAAAGTTCGAGATTAATTTATATATGGAACTTAGTAATCTCAAACCAAGAGATACAGTTCCGAAGAATTAATTTTTCGCGCTTGGGTTCTATTGGCCGATTTAAAAAATTCATGTATTATTTTAAAAATATTTTTAACAATTATTTTATTTTTTAAGAAATATTTTTAAATTTCCTTTAATTTTTTTTAATTTTAAAAATTATTATTTAATTAACAAAATTTAATTTAATTTTAAAATATTCCTAAAACCATTTTCAAATGTTTTTATACAATGTACGTATTTTATAGAAATATTTAGAAATATTTTTTTGAAAACTCATCATATTTTGTGCTGCATGGGATATTTTTCTCATAAAATAATAATTATTCGTTGATTCGTCATAAATATTGTTCACAATGGAGCAATGATGATGACAGCCGCGTAAAAGGAAACGCTTCGCGCGTCGAAATAATTAAGACAGCTGGCGTGAGTTGGGCTTAATAGCGCCTTTTGCTCTATAATTCTGCGTCTTTAATCAAAGCCTCGCGATGTGCGACGCTTTTATTGCGTAGCTAGGTGCTACACAATCATAGTTGTTCCGCCGTTGCGGCCCGTCAGAAAACTCGTACACGAGTTGCCTCTTCTAGTAAAAGTTCGGCTCTCCGGCGCGTTAAATAGCTGGCAATTACCGCGTGTGTAATGCCGTGTAATTAATGACGGCGAAACCAGTCAATTCTCCATCGCGCGCGTGCGCGAATTCATCGCGTAACTCGATCACGTTCTAATGCAATTTTTTTTTATCACTCGACTCGTGTCTTGCTCCGAAATATTTTTATCGCGACGAATTTGATATACTCGATTCGATAATGAATTATTGAAAATTCTTCACAGCGTAGAAATTATGAATATTCACACATTGAATTGAATTTAGTTCGATTATTTTGGATGCATATTTGGGTAAAATTGAATATAGATTAGAACGAAAGGTAAGGAAAATAATTTAGATACCGAATATGACTTGGAACGAGCTTATAACATATACAAGTATTAGTTATATTATTAATTACCTAAGTGGTTTGAATTGTACACTCGACATAAGTAAACGTAAATATTTCAACTGATACTTGTACAAGATTTCTACATAGCGCAATAATTCCTTTGAACGCTACTAATGAATAACGACTAAATTTCATTCGTCACGAGCCGTAACTCCTCTGTATTGCAGTTGATTAATTTTTCAAACGCCCAATAATGATATTTCAAAATATAGCTATTAAGTTGAGTTCTGTCATTAGCCTCGATTTTTCCTCCGAGTGGAAGACGTACATATATGTACTTTGCGAATGTTACTGCTCATTCTCGAGATAGATACTTTACTATTCTTAATGAAGCACAGAGAATTATGATATCCTCTTGAGTGGCTAGAAGGGTATCGCTTTTACAACGAACAATAATGAATCGCTTAAGAAAGCAGTATCGGGTATCGAAGTAGGCTAAGTAAGTTGTAAGCGAACTACGCTTTTGACGACCTATTTTTTGGAAGATCGATATCGACATGATCGATCCGTAACGAACAGGACATAACAATAAAGCGCGTAAGTGGCGGTTGTACGGACTCTCGAGAGAGAAGATCGACTTTAATAAGGCATCTTCTTTCCGATCCCGTTCCGTTACTTCGACCAACCGCGGATGTGCAATGCTTGCACTTTGCTACACGGAGAGAATTTTCTCTTTGAATTTACCCTGAATCGTAGCGACAATATATAGTGCTGGAAGAATTTTAGGAAAGTTTCTTTGATTAAATATTTATCAAAATCAATTATATTTATAATTATTAATATGTGCGTAGTAAATTTTATACAGAGAGAATTTTTTCGTAGAATTTACCCCGAAAATCATCGTAATCGTGGGGACAATATATGTATAGTATTGGAAGAATTTTGGAAAGTTTCTTTGAGATTAAATATTTATCAAAATTAATTATTAATCATTATTAATAATTATATATATAATTATTAATATGTGCATAGTAAATTTTATACAGAGAGAATTTTTTTTTAGAATTTACCGTAAAATCATCGCGTAATCGTGGGGACAATATATAGTATTGGAAGAATTTTATGAAAGTTTTTTTGATTAAATATTTACCACAATAGCAATTATTAATATGTGCATAATAAATTTTACAAAGAATTTTTTCTTAGAATTTACCCTGAAAATCATAGTAAATCATGGAGAATCGTGCGATAATTGAAAGAATTTTATAATAGTTTCTCTGATTAATACTTACCAGAATAAAAAATATTAATATTTACCATAATAAAATAATAAAATATTTTAATTATTAATTTTACTATGTACATACACGGAGAGAATTTTCTCTTAGAATTTACCTTGAAAATCACACACAGTAATCGTGAGACAATATGACATTTCAAAGAATTTTATAAAATTTTTTCTGATTAATATTTACCACAAGAAAAAATATTAATATGTACGTAATAAAATGAATCGAACATATTTGACATTTTATTGCGATAGAAATATTAATAAATGGTAGTAATTTAATCAACCAACTCTGGCAAATTAAGTGATCTTTATTTAATTTAGATAGTTAATTGTTTCACATTATGATTTCATTATATCTTGTCACATTGTAAGATCAAAAATTAAGGTTTTTAAAAAAGTTGTGTTTTAGCACTTGATAAGGGCCGAAACCCATGGCCGAAACGTCGTGAATATTAAATAAAGATCACATAATTTGCCAGAGTTGGTTGATTAAATTACTACCATTTTTTAATTATCATCTGGTGACTTCATAGTTTTTTACATCTTTTAGAAATATTAATATTTTTCTTGTGATAAATATTAAACAACACATTGTATCGTCCCACAGGATTACCATATAATTTTCAGGCTAAATTCCAAGAGAAAATTCTCCTTCAGAACTACATCCTCTTCGCGCGCTCGAAGAAGGAACTTCTTTCTTCGATTGCGCGTAGTACAAATTGCGCGCGAGTTAGAAGAAGCACGAAAAGTCACGGAGAGTCAAGTGTCAACTCGCGACAGCTGGCAGGACGTGTCGCTCGTCGGCGCGATTAACGAACTTGAAAGATCATCGCGCATCCCAGAATGGAGACATGTGCTTGATTCGCGGATGACGCGAAGATGAACGCGCCGGCGAGTGCCACTACAAAGGACTACGTTTCGAAAGAAATTCAAGAGGTGAAAGGTCCTTGGACTGCGAAGGTACCTGTTGTACTCGAGAGATCTTGGAAGAGGAAGAGGGAAGATTCTCTCTTTATATAGAAGACTCTCTGATGATGACATTTTTATGATACATCCCCTATGAGTGTGGGAAAATCTTTTTCCATCATTCATTTAGAAAACTTACTTGATAAATTGCCATTTTTCGAAAGTAAACGTGTCCACAGAGTATAATTAAAATCTCATCAATCCTATTTAAATATTTACATATATAGCATGCATTTTTTGATAACATTCAAAGAAATGTATTTTCCATAGAGAAAGCTAATGCGAAAGCAATATACAAGTGACATATAAATTTCTTTCTGATGTATTGGACAATAAAATGATGCGTGTGAACTCTAATCTAATGACAAATAAATGGCGCACATTTGCTGGATGAGGTGTACAAGTATATTAGTACGACACGTGAGTCTAATTTCATCGGAATCGGTAAAGTCAGCATCATCAGCAAGCAATCAGCAACAAACAACTATTTGCTGTGCACCTGCGGAGTAGATTACGAGTCGATTGAGGAAACTTTTCTTTCCTCGGTTCGGTTCGTCAATAGCGGAAAGTCCCGTAAAGCTTTAGTTCCTTCGAGATATATGTATCGGATCGATAGAGCCATATGGCGTTCG